CTATAAAGAAAAGGAAGATAGCAGCACTTTCAGCACAAATAGGTCATATTATCATATCATAAGAGCTGAAAATTACGGCACTTGCAACCAAAATAATTCCTATAAGAGCCAAAGATTAGGGGCGCCACTAGAGAGTAATGTGCAAAGAAAAGAAACAGGAGAGGTTAGGACAATAGCGGCACTCGCAGCACAAAAATAGAAGGTCACATTTATGTGTCTGTATATATATATATCATAAATGTGACCTTCTATTTTATTGCACTTGCAACACAATAAGATATATATAAGAGCCCAAGATTAGAGGCGTTCTTTAGTAAGAGGAGTTTTACTTTTACAGCACTTGCAATACAAATAGAAGGCCATATATATATAATAAACGCCAAAGATTTGAGGTGTTCTTTAGCTTTAGTAAGAGGAGTTTTATGGCACTTGCAGCACAAATAGGTCGTGTAAGAGAGCTACTCACTTGTCGGTTTCCTCCAGCCTTCACCATGGCCATGATGACGTTCTCCGTGGCCATGAAGGGAAGCTCTTCGTTCAGACGCCGGGCGATCACCTAGTGGGGGAGGGAGAGAGGGAGGGAGGGAGGTTATGTTTGTTTTAGTAGAAGTTTGTTTGTTTGTTTTAGAAGAGGTTTTACGGTGCTCGCAACTGCATAAGGTCATATGAGCGATAGAAGATTAGAGGTGTTACAAGAGAATAACAAACATAAAAAAAGGAGGGGAGATAAGGACGATAGATGTTTGACAGGAAAGAAGAAACAAACCACACCAGAGCACCTGCCAACCTCTCACTAGTAGTAGTAGAGGTTTTACGGCGCTCGCAACTGCATATGGTTATATGACATGAGCGCCATGGGAAGGATATAAAAAAAGAAGTCCTTACAGGGGATTCAGGCTTACTCTGCTCACCTCTCTAGCTTCAACAGCACAAAGTCTGCTTCGACTGTCAAGGCACCCCGGAAATAGCGGGTCACAAGAGAGTGACAAACATACAAAAGAAGTAGAGGAAAATTGACGACAGCAAGGATTAGGAAAGAAAAAGCAGCAGTTCAGGCAGTTATGAGAGTGACATTGATGAATCAGCCCATTTACAATTACAATTCTACTGTGCACAAGAGCATAGTTAGGAATATGGCAAAAAGACACTTCAGTCAGTAGCACCGCCCTGGGAGGTGATGGGAGATAAGGCAAGGAGGAGGTGGGAGAGGGAGGTGAGGAGGAAGTGGGAAAGGGAGATGAGGAGGAGGTGGAGGTAGGTAGATGAGGAGGTGGAGGGTGGGGAAGTGGTGGAGGGAGGGAGGTGAGGGTGGGGAAGTGGTGGAGGGAGGGAGGTGAGGAGGTGGAGGGTGAGGAGGAGGTGGAGGGAGGTAGGTGAGGAGGTGGGGAGGGAGGAAGGGGTGGTGGCAGGGAAAAGGAAGGAAGGAGAGTGAGGAGAGGGGAGGTGGAGGAGAGGGGAGGGAGGAGAAGAGGTGGTGGACAGAGACAATGACATAAAAAAAGTAGAGACAAAGACAGAGAGTCAGACATTAATGATAAATAAAGATAATAATAACAATAATTATAATAATAATAACAAAAATAATAACAGTATTATAACATTGTATTTACAATATATATAGCTCTCTATCCCATACGAGTAAGCTCTGAGTGCTTTACATTGCCAACATGCTCACTGAGTGTAAAATTTCATTCACACAGGAAAAAAACCCAAATCACATTAACGAGAAAACCAGTTCAACCACATAATTTAAGGAAGACCTTTCTCAACCATACATTAATCATTAATTCGGCTTAAATACCATAAGGATAGCAGTGAAAGCAAGACATATCAGTACACACCACAACAAAGACTTAAACAAATGAGTTTTTTCATCGCTTTAAAAATGCACTCGGACTTGTCATTTCTCTGAGGATCTAGTGCAAGGAGTTCCAAATTTAAGGGCCAAAACAATGAAAAACTTCTTTCACCAAAAATTTTTAATTTCATTCTAGGGGCTCTAAATTTCATTGCGTCTGTGAATGACCGTAACTGACGGGATGCAAAATGTGGCGTTAAAAGATCAATCAGATATAATGGAGCACAGTTATTTAGACATCTATAACAGATGATAGAAACTTTATATATATATATTGGATTCTTTTTCAATTGGAAGACAGAGTGGAGCTTTTAACATTTTCGATGCAGCATCTTTCTTCTTTTTCTTCAATACTAGTCTCACAGTCTTATTTTGGACCACTTGCAATTTCCTCACTCTCCCATGAAATACCTGACAGAACAGAATTGCAATAGTCAAGTTTTGACAAGATAAGAGAGAGACAGAGCATTCATGCAATACACAATGTATCAGTTGAAATAAAGTGCCTCATCTTACTAATTCTTCTGAGATCAAGGTAAATACAAGATCAAGTGACAGGATTCACTTGGTTGTACATGGACATGTCTGAATCAAAAGAGATACCAAGGTTCTTGGCCTTGTAACAATAGTTAGATAGATAGAGAGCGAGAGAAAGAGAGAGAGA